GGAAGAGCCTAAAGGGTCATACACATATGGGATGGACGTGTATGTACGGGATCGATCTGACGAGAAAAATCGGATTTTTCTCGGTTTTTGAGGTCTGGTCCGGAGCTGACCAAGAGTTGGTCAGCCGGACCAGACGGACTTGGGAGAGGCGGACCAAATGGCTGAAGTGATTGTCTGGTCCGGAGTTGACCAAGAGTTGGTCAGCCGGACCAGACCAGTCCAGTCAATCGAAGCATTCGTATTGGTCCGGAGTACGTCTGGTCCGCGGGACCGAAATCTTGGTCCGCCGAACCAACCAGTCAGGCGGACCTGTGTGCAAGGCTCGGAGAACGGCTGGTCCGCCGGATCGGGAAAATTTTTGGTCTGTCGGCAAGTCACTGAGCTTGGTCCGGGTGACCAAGAGTTGGTTAGCTCCGGACCAAGTCTCTGACTGCGCAATTCCGTGAGTTTTACACGCCTGGTCCGGCGGACCAAGTGTTGGTCCGGCGGATCAAGCGTCAGAAACTCCAAAGTACGATTTTTCCGGCTTTTCTTGGTGGGAACAAGTAGGGAACGCACTCCTCTCTCAATCATTCAGATTTTCAGACCTTGGAAAGACTCTGGAAGTTGCAGAAGCTCTCTCAAACTCAAGAAGGTGTTCTTGAGATCATACATAAGAGAATTGTTCTCTTCAAGCTCTAGCAAGCAAGTTTCCAAGTGTTGGAAACCTTCCCAAGGGTGTGGACTGCTCAAGAGGATGTTGGCTCTTTCAACACCTTGGCTGTGATCATCTAACCGCAATCAGATTGTGAATCAAAGGTTAGTTTTTCTCAAAGAGAAGTTCTTCATCGAAAGATTGGTCCGTGGGCGGTTCAAAATCGTTTTGAACGCTAATTCCGCTGCGTAAGCCCGTGGACCAGATCTTAGCACGGTTTTGAACCGGTGGTCTAGGATCCCTTGTGACCCAGCAGAAACATAATTTAGGGTTAAGAAAATTATTGAGAAATTTCGAACTCTCTCTCTCCCTTTTGGTTGTCGCCCTCTCTCTCTCTCCCGGGATCACATCAGTTTTTGTTCCCGTCCTCTAGATCGCATTCTAGCTAACACAAGCCCGTGAGTATGGATTAGCTGTAGAGAACGTTGGATTGCAACGTTTGTGATAGGTCTCTGGATCGAAACAGGTTGGTATCGATGCCCTTATCATTATATGCAAGATCTGTTGATTGGATTTCATTTTTCATATTCCGCTATATGAAACCCAAGATTGGAACCCTAGAAACCGTTATGAACGCATGTTTAGGGATCTCCAAAACCCCAACATTGTAACTTTCTAAGGCTGCTACGAAATGATGGAACTGTCTTCATACACCAACACAAGACCTTTTAGCGTGTTTTATCCTCACTTACACACGTCCCAAAAAATATTTTCCATGAGGTCACTCATCCTAAGACTACTCCAGAGTAAACACAATTAACTTTGGCATTTTTCGGGGATAGGCAACCGAAAAGGTATATGCATCTTGTTGGTATGAGTAGATCAATCAATTTCTTTAAGTTATCTTCAACTGTATAGTCTCATACCTACACAATCATCGGATCCTTTTTTATTCTGGTGCGTTCAATTCATTCTTATACCCCTTTGGCCTAGCGATACTCGGAAACCGTTCATTGTCCATACCACTTGCCCCGACGATCACTCATGCCCTCATCCCAGCACCGGCTGTCATAGTTGATTATCGCCATGGTGCTTAATCTACTGGGAAAGATGAACTTTGCAAATAATTGTTTTGAAATATTGTATGAAAAAATGGTGATAAGTCCAATGAGAAGAAAAACGAGGCGATGAATATTTTGTGAAGGCTTTTTTAAGTATACAACGCAAGTATAATAAAGCTTATCTTGAAAAAGTTGTAAGTGATGGTGGAAGTAGAGGTGAAACTCAAGGCACAGAAAATCAAACTTGTGGTACTGCAAGTTTAATTGATTTATGCATTGAACAATATCGTGATCCTTTTTCCAATTTCAGTCCAACGGTTGCCGGTGAAGGGAGTGCTGATGGAAGATATTAAGAAACCCGCTCAAAATAGATTGAGTACAGTATTTGATATTTTGTTGTAGTGGAAGGTTCATAGTTCAAAATATCCGGTGTTAGCAAAGATGGCTCAAAATTTCTTTGCTATTCCAATTTCTACCATTTCATGGAATCTGCTTTTAGTATAAGTAGACGTGTATTAGACCAATACATGAGTTCTTTAACTTCTAATATGGTCGAAGCATTAATCTTATCATAGAATTGGCTACGGTATTCGTTGTGTCTTACTTGAACAATAAGTTTTAGGCACGACTTAGAGGAAAATGAATTTATGGATAAGTTAGTAAATTAATTCATTTTATCATTCTTGTATAGTTTTTAAAATTTTATATAACTAACACTCAGAATATTTTTTTTTCTTTCTTGGATTCTTCAAAAATCCGTAAAGAAGTTAACGTTTCATCTTTATTATTACATGAGAAATTCGATTTTTTTTTTAAAGTAAGTTATCTATATTTTACTTTATAAATATTTTATTTTTATCTCTTTAGTGTTTATATTGATTTTTTATATTGCAGATATTTCACTTTGTTGGTAAAAAAAGATTGATTTCTGCATATATGATATAATTTTTAAAGCGTAATTTAAAGTTTTGATAATATTTATAGAAAAATTCAAAATATTATGTTGAACTTTTTTACCGTTAAAACAAATTCAAGCCTTTTATTTTGTTGTCCAAAATTATTATGTTGAATTTCTTTATTTTTTATATAATTATATTATATGATTATAAGTATGTTATAAACAGTTCTTAACCGTCTTTATTTCAGTTCTTATTTTATACTTATTTATTAAAATCTTACCAATCAGAGCCGCCACTAATATCGAACTAAATTGAATAATATACGGTACTAATTTAGTACAAATTTTATGATACCAAATCGAATAATATACAGTACTAATTTGGTACAAATTTGAAAGTTTTTTATTTTATTTTTTTTTATGGATGATTTGATACTGTTTTTTGTATCAATCAAATAGTAAAGATAAAACTATAACTGTTTTCAAGGTTTATAAAAGCACTATGATATTATTATTCATTCAGTTTTCATGAGTCATGTTTAATGTTTTTTATTATTCTGATAATTTGATTGAATGATTTTTAGGAGTTGTATTTAGGTTTAGAACAAATTAATCAAATGAATTAAATAAGATATTGAAAAAAAAATAGGTTCACCGATTTAGGAGATTTTTTATAACAAATGTTAAAACAATTAGATGATTTTTATATCACTACACAATATATACAATGTTCATTTGACATACAAATATGTAAATGTTGAATAACAATGGATATAATTTTTGGATATTCCATTTACCAAAAAAAGAAATGGATATTCTAGAAAATATGAAAAGTATAAAAAGCATACAACTTTATTATTTATAACAACTAGGTGGAAACCATCACGTGGTTATCCTATTTTTTTTAATATAAAATTTGTTTATACATTTAATAAAAATTGATATAAATTATTTGTTTGATAAAAGAAAAATATATATTTTATTTTTTTTATAATATGAAATTATATTTTTCAAATATATTGGTGTGTTATAAAAAATTCTTCATAATTATATTTTCTAGTTTATCTATTACTCTTTTATAAATAAATATATCTCATTTTAAATAATAGTACATTTTATTAAAAATAATCATATTTTATTAAAATTTTCATATCATCTTATATTATCATTTTTATCATAATTTCTTTATAATTATATTTTTGAGTTTATCTATTGCTATTTTATATATAAAAAAATCTAATTTATAATAACAGTAAATTTATTAAAAATAACTATATGCTATTAAAATTTCCTTACCATTTCAATTTAATTACTCATTTTCCTATTTTAATGATTTCTAATTTTATTCTTATCATTTCATTTTGAATTATTCATTTCCTTATTCTCAAAACTTCAACTTTAATTCTATAATAATTTCTTTATAACCAATCAAAATTTAAAAAAAAAAACATTGATGTAGGATATTGACAAGGCGACACTAAATTATTTTAAGGTTTTTATTTATATATAAGGTTTATCAAACGTTACATGAAAGCGAAAAAGCATTTTACATGACAGGAGACGAGACAAGTATCATGGGAGTGTCCCTAATAATATAATGCGCCCACGTTGCAGAATAATAAAAGCACGTGTGATTTACTTAAATGAGTTTCCAAATAGCGGCTGCGACTCCGTAGTCAACTCTCTCACCAACCATAATGACTGCCCGCTTGGTCGGAGAATGGAAAACTCGGTCATTGATTCTTTGTTCAACCATTATAAATTCAGATCATCGTCTCCTCCGATTCTGCACCCAAATCAAGAATCTTTAATCGAAATCGAAAAAAATAAACATGGCTTCCTCTGTTTCTTGTCATCTCTCGATTTCACTACACCCACACCGCAAATCCTCCACCGCGAAAGCCTCGCCGCCGGCGAGATCCCCGGCGATCCGAGTCTCGAAGACCCGTTTAATCACCGCCTCGGTTTCACAGTCAACAGATCTCGTGGTGACGAATCAACCCGGATCGAAACCCGAGCCGACCCGGATCCGGGAAGTGCCCGGAGATTACGGTTTGCCGATCTTCGGACCGATCAAGGACCGGTTGGATTACTTCTACAACCAAGGGGCCGAGGAATTCTTCAAATCTCGAATGCGGAAGCACAACTCCACGGTGTTTCGGGTCAATATGCCGCCAGGGAGTTTCATCGCGGAAAACCCAAACGTCGTGGCGTTGCTGGACGGCAAAAGCTTCCCTGTCTTGTTCGATACGGACAAAGTCGAGAAGAAGAATCTGTTCACCGGAACTTACATGCCGTCGACAGAACTCACCGGAGGCTACAGAGTTCTGTCGTATCTCGACCCGTCGGAGCCGAAGCACGCCATGCTCAAGAACTTGATCTTCTTCGTCCTGAAATCGTCTCGTCATAGGATTTTCCCCGAGTTTCGTGCGACTTACTCGAACCTCTTCGACGAACTGGAGAAAGAACTCGCCGGAAAGGGCAAGGCGGACTTCTCCGGCACCGGAGAGACAGCTGCTTTCGAGTTCCTCGCACGAGCGATGTACGGGAAGAATCCAAAGGAGACGAGTCTCGGAGTCGACGCACCGGGTCTGATCTCGAAGTGGGTCTTCTTCAATCTCCATCCACTGTTGTCGATCGGTCTTCCGAAGCTTCTAGAAGATTCACTCCTCCACTCGTTCCGTCTCCCTCCGTCGCTCGTCAAGTCCGATTACCAGAGACTCTACGACTTCTTCGCCCAATACTCCGGCGAAATCCTCGCGGAGGCGGAGAAGTTGGGGATCTCGCGAGACGAAGCAATCCACAACCTCCTCTTCGCCACATGCTTCAACACCTGGGGAGGGATGAAAATACTCTTCTCCAACCTCATGAAACAGATCGGACGCGCCGGGACCCGGCTCCAGACCCGATTAGCCTCCGAAATCAGATCCGAGATCGCATCCAACGGCGGAGATCTGACAATGGCGATGATCGAGCGTATGGAACTCACCAAATCCGTCGTCTACGAGTGTCTACGCATCGAGCCGCCGGTGTCGGCGCAGTACGGACGAGCGAAGCGAGATCTGGTGGTCGAGAGCCACGACGGCGCGTTCAGGGTACGCGCCGGCGAGATGCTGTTCGGGTACCAGCCGTTTGCGACGAAGGACCCGAGGATCTTCGATCGAGCGGAGGAGTTCGTACCGGAGAGGTTCGTTGGACCGGAAGGGGAGAGGCTGCTGAGGCACGTGGTGTGGTCGAACGGGCCGGAGACGGAGGCGGCGACGGCGGAGAACAAGCAGTGCGCCGGGAAGGATTTCGTGGTTCTGGTAGCGAGGTTGTTTCTTATCGAGTTTTTCCGGCGATACGATTCGTTCGACATCGAGGTCGGCTCGTCGGCAATCGGGAACTCCATTACTGTGACTTCGTTGAGGAAGGCGAGTTTTTGAGGGCGAGGGTAAAATCGGAAATTAGTATTAGCTTTCCCGTGTCTGGATCTGAGGGTGGGCTTGGGCTTTTATTACGGGCCGAAATTGAAAAATCTATATGTTTCCAGATAATTTATAGTCTGTTCGACGCTTTTAAAGTAATACAAATAAAACAAAACACAATACAAATCAAAATCATCATATATATATATATATATATATATATTATATTATATTATATACTATTATATATATATATATATATAAAGTACACTTTGTTGTATATGGGTTCGACACGTGTCCTCAATAATAGTAAATTAAAAGTAAATTATATTCATTCAATCATTACATTAATAGACATGACTTCGTAAATTTGGTCAAAACACTGTACTTTCTGTGACTCTCGAACCCTAGAAATCTTGGTGAACTGTGGACGTGCGAAAAACAAGAATGGCTTGAGGGACACAGACAGATTTTACGAGTTCGGATTCAGTGTGAATCCTACGTCTCGGCCGAGGGAGTTTCGGCAATTCACTATAGTGATTTTGAGGTTACAACTCGATCGGAATCTCACAAGATAATCGAGAGTTTCGACGAAGAATTTTCCCAGAAAAGAAACCAACCCCAAGACCCCTTTGAATGAAGAATTCGATCTGAGGAAGACGACCCACTAAACCCTCTGATTATATAGGAGACATTAAAATGGTCTTCTTCTTCTCAAAAACTACGCCATATTGATCTTGTCGTTAGTAGCACGATGAAACACTGTGTACTGACCCGATTTAGTTTTCCAATTGAATCTCTCAATCAACTCGGTTTATTTCAGATTCCAAAACCGAAACCTTCCGCTTATCGCAGAGTCTTTCGTTTATCAGGCAGAACTTCAACAAACTCCACCTTGCCTGTCCAAAAGAAAGAATCCTCTGTGAATTCCCTCTGCTCCCTCGTATGCCTGAGTTATTACTCAGATATTCGCAGCAAGCTCAACGCTGTGTTGAACTTACTGACTGGTATAGGTTTAGTGAAGATATCTGCTGGGTTTATTTCGGATTTTATCTTCAAAACCTGAACCTTATCCTCTGCTACTATATCTCTGAGGAAATGCAGTCTCACATCAATGTGTTTTGTCCTTTCATGATGTATGCTGTTCTTAGCCAGACATATAGCACTGTGCGAGTCACATAATACCTTTACCTTCCCTTGCTCTATCCTAAGCTCCTGAATCAGCCCTTTAAGCCAAAGAGCTTCCTTAAAGGTTTCTGCCAAAGCCATATATTCAGCTTCAGTGGTTGACAAAGCTACCACATGTTGTAATGTAGATCTCCAGCTAACCACATTTCCACCCACTGTAAACACGTATCCTGTGATTGATCTCCGTCTATCTAGATCCGAGGCGAAGTCCGAATCGCTATAACCTGTAACACTGAAGTCCCCTGATTTTCCATATACCAGTTTCCGTCCCAGAGTTCCTTTGATGTACCTCATCACCCATTTTACGGCCAACTAGTGTTCCATATTCGGTCTACTCATAAATCTGCTCACTAATCCCACACTGTAGGCTAAATCAGGTCTTGAGCCTATCATAGCATACATTAGGCTCCCTACAGCGCTTAGATATGGATTTGAGTCCAGGTTTAGAGTTTCCTCTCCTTCCTGAGTGTTCTTCAGTTTGAAATGTGCTTCCATAGGTGTATTGATTGTCCTTGCTTCTGACATTCCATATGTGTTTAGCACTTTCTGTAGATAGTCTCTCTGTGAGAGAGTTATCGTCTCGTGTTTTCTGTCTCTTTCTATGTCCATTCCCAGGATGCGTTTTGCTTCTCCTAAATCCTTCCTTTCGAACTGAGTTCCCAGCATGTCCTTTATTTTCTGTATCTCTCCCTTGCTTTCTGCAGCGATCAACATATATCAACAAGTATATGCAAGACCCTTTCTTGATTTCCTTGAAGTACACACAGAGATCGTGTTTACTGCGTGTAAAACCCTGTTGAATTATAAAACTGTCGAATTTCAAGTTCCATTGTCGCGGTGACTGTTTCAACCCATAGAGTGATTTCCGTAGCAGACATACTTTCTCCATTCTTCCCTGTATTTCGAATCCCTCAGGTTGCTTCATGTAGATTTGCTCCTCTAGATCACCGTGCAAGAAAGCTGTTTTAACGTCAAGTTGCTCGAGTTCAAGGTTTCTTGATGCTACCAATGACAGTAGAAGCCTTATAGATACGTGTTTAACCACTGGTGAATATATTTCATTGTAATCTATTCCTTCTACTTGAGAATACCCTTTAGCGATGAGCCTTGCTTTGAAGCGAGGTTCCTCCACTCCAGGTATTCCAGGCTTCCTCTTGAATACCCATTTGCTTCCTATGATCTTCTGGTTATCTGGTTTATTAACCAACATCCATGTTTTGTTCTTCTGTAGTGATTGCATCTCCTCTCTCATTGCATGTACCCATTTATCTCGATCTCTTGTCTGTAGTGCTTGAGCATATGTTTTTGGTTCATCTGTTTCAATTTCATTTGCTGCAGATAACGCAAAGGCTACAGTATCTTCATCCCTAAACCTCTCAGGAGGTTTAATCACTCTTCTTTCTCGGTCTCTTGCTAACATGTAGTCTTGGAGATCTCTTGTTGTTGTGCTTATTGTAACTTGCTCATTTCCCGCTCCTGGTTCTAGACCATTATCATCTCCACCTGGCTCAGACCATTCCTCTATCTGCTCCTCTCTAGCTCCACCTTGATCAGAGAACTCTGTACCTTGTTCTTCTACTTCTATTTCTTCTGGTATGTTCGTTATTCCAAACCTTGCCTGCTCTTTCGGAGGAGTATTTTCCTCATGATCTTGTTTTTCTAGCTTCTGAATGTCTTTGATCGTCTGATCTTCTCTGAATTTTACATCTCTACTTACTTGTAATTTCTTTTCTTCCAAAAGTCAGATCCTATACCCCTTTGTTCCTTGAGGGTAGCCCACAAATATCCCCTTTTTAGCTCTCGGTTGTAGTTTACCCTGGTTTGTGTGAACATAGGTGATACAGCCAAATCTTCTTAGTTCTTTCAGGGATGGTTCTCTTCCATACCACACTTCTTCTGGTATCTTGAATTCCATGGCTCTTGAAGGTGACAGATTTATCAGATGAGCAGCTGTTGTTGCTGCTTCCCCCCAAAACTCCTGTCCTAATCCTGAATCTGACAGCATACTTCTTACCTTATTCATCAATGTTCTGTTCATTCTCTCAGCCACTCCAATCTGTTGTGGAGTGTAAGTGCAAGTTCTGTGTCATTTAATGCCACTTTCTCTGCAAAGCTGATCGAACTGTTGATTACAATACTCCAATCCATTATCCGTTCATAAGTGCTTTACTCTCCTTCCTGTTTGAGTTTCCACCATTGTTTTCCATTCTGAAAACTTGGTGAATGCTTCATCTTTTGTTTGTTTTCAGTAAGTAGACCCATAGCTTCCTTGAGTGATCATCTATAAACGATATCAGATATTGCGCATTTCCAAGAGATGGACATACATTTGACGAGCCCCAAAGGTCCGAATGTTTATAATCGAGAATCTGTTCAGACACGTGTTTTCCTTTTGGAAAAGCCAGTTTGTGTGATTTTCCCATTACACAACTCTCGCAGAACTCCATTTCTGTGAGTTTTGCCTTTCCTAGAAGACCTCTTTGTGACATGATTTGCAATCCTTTGTTGCTCATATGTCCTAGTCTCAGATGCCATAACTCTGTTTCTTTCGAGCTTGTTGCAACTTGTGTTTCTGCTACAACAGTCTCTCCTTGTAATACATAGAGTCCTCCTTCAAGTTTTCCTGTCATGACCTTTTGAGATTTCTTGAACACTTCAAGTGTTCCGTTTCGTGATCCATAATGCATCCCTAGCTTGTCTAGTGACCCAAGAGATATTAAATTTCTCTTCAGATCAGGCACAAACCTTACCTGACTCAGAATCTTTATGTTTCCGTCGTTTAGACGTAACTTTATTTCACCTATTCCTCTCACTTCGCAAGACCCATTGTTTCCCATGAGTACTTTGCCTCCTTTTTGTTCCTCCAGCTTGAGAAACCATTCCTTATGTGGGGACATGTGAAACGTGTAACCTGAGTCCATTATCCATTGATCTTCGGGACCTTGTTCGGATACTGTCAAAACTTCAGTTTCAAACTCCTTTCCTGTTACGTTGGCTGCTTCCCCTGCTTTCTTTGCATTTTGTTCCATCCATTTCTTCTTATTTCTACAGTCACGCTTAAAATGACCCTCCTTTCCACAGAACCAGCAACCAGTTTCTGATTTCTCAGTTTTCTCTTTCGGTTTTCCTTTGAAGTTCTTTCCTTTTTGCGTTTTAGGGTCCTTTTTTCCTGGTTTTCCTTTGACCATGAGTCCTTCCCCTGTTTGTACCTTGGTTTTCGACTTGTATTCTAGCTCCTTAGTGATGATTGCAGATGTTACTTCATCCATAGAGATATCTTCTTTCCTTGAATACTTCAGGGTATCCCTCAGGTGTTCATACCTTTCTGGTAAAGAATTCAACAAATACATGATCTGATCTTCTTCCGAAATCTCCACCTGAAGATTTCCAAGATCAGTCACAAGCTTCCTGAAGTTGTCTAGGTTATCTTCCATGGGTTTACTGTCATCCATCTTATAGCTGAACAACTTCTGCTTTAGGTACATTTTGTTGGGCATGGACTTATTCACGTACTCTTTTTCAAGAGCTTTCCATATTCCAGAAGCAGTAATCTCATTCTTCATCTTTCTCATGATTTGATCAGTTAAACATAGAAAGATGAGATTTCGTACTTTCCTGCTTTTCTCATACCTTGAATCTTGAGGAAGAGTTCTCTCCCCTGATTCGTCCGAGGTCGCTTCTTCATCCTTTTCTGATTTGGTCCTCTTTCCC